TTTTTTTCAAATTGCATGTTAAATAATGTATTTTTACCTTATGCAGCATCGAAACCGTGTCCATTAAGGGGAGGTGCAGTTGATTACGAAGACGTTGTGCAGCGTCTAGTGCATCCCATCCAAAAGTTAAGTACTACCGTGATGTACGGTTCGAGCAGGTTCACCCTATTTGAACTGATTATTGAAAAGGCCACGACAAAACCGCAGTGCCTTACTTGCCGAAATATAGGTGTCTTCAAAGAAATTGGATGCACCGTCAAGACAACGCGTGTTGTCATCCTCCTTCAGTTGTGAGTAAAATATAAAATAGCTCTTCATGAGTCTACTTTCACGACTCATTGTTGCCTTTAACTGTTCATTTGCACATGTACATCTAAATCCCCTTTTAATTTCAGAAAGTATCGTATGGAACCTGACTATACCGTTGAGCTCATTAAAATTGTGATTCCCGATGCAGTCTTCGATGCAAAGCTGGAAGAGTTGGTTGGGGACAGTGGCATGTCTTCCACCTATGCCCTACAGCTTGCGGATCTCAGCGTTCAAAATATCACCTCAAGCATAAATGCCCGTAGACTGTCTATTCCTGTCGCCGCTGTGAGTGTCTGGAAAACATGGGCTCTTTCCAACTGCGAAAGAATTTTGAAAGTGGCATTTACTCGGCGTGGAGTTGTCAGCATTGATGGAAAATATTTTCCATTTGAGAATTAGCTATTCCTGTGATGCATATTTCTACTGTATTGAATATACTATTCCCATTGGTGTCTTTCCCCTTCTCCCGCAAAACGAAGATGGGACTGATAGTTATGAAGCACTGCGCATGTTGACTGCTTAGAATCCTGAAAGCCAAGAAGTTGGGTTGCAGGATCATGTATGTTTTGTGAAATCGAGCGAACGATCAGGGTTTTTAGATCCGCCATAACTCGCGTTAAGTATATTATACTTTAGTGGTCAACTTAGCCAGTAACTTAAAGCAGTAGGTGTTCTGGTGCGGAAAAGGTGCTCTTATAATCTGGCTCCTTAGGTGCCTTGTACGTGTCCACTTCAAGCAAATGGCAAAGCGTTTTACTTTTCACTGCAAATGGGTTTTCCGCAAGAGAAATATATAATCGATTAATCTGCAGCCCATTTGTATCCTGCG